AATTTCCAAAAAAATTCTTTTCAAATTCCTAACATAATTTTGCAATCATTATTTTTTGCACAAACGAAAATATATAAATTTATGATCATATTTATATATATATATATATATATATATATATATATATATATATATATATATATATATATATAACTATATATATAAAAATATATTATATTTCTATTTGTATAAAAATGCCTGAACTGTAAAAAAAAATAATAAAAAAAAAATAAAAATTATAGTTTTAAAATATTTTTTAAATTACATCATTTTTTAAATGACAATTGATAATTATATTTTGAATATGTCTTGAAAATGGTTTATTAATTTACCGAAACGTCCGACGTTAATATATTATTAATTTTTTTTAGCATAATTGTATATATTTGATTTTTTTTGTTTTTTATGTTTTATTTTCATAAATATTTGCTCCTATATATATATATATTTATATATATATATATATATATATATATATATATATATATATATATATATAATATATATATTTATATATTTTTTTTCATAGATATAATTTATATAATTACATAATCCATTTATTAATTAAACAGTATTAATTAAATATACCGGCCTTTCCTGTTCAGACCCATCAGAAATTTTTAAAAAATTTTCTCAAAAAGGAATCGAAATTTTGTAACCTTAATGGGAACCATCATTTTATCCGATAAATTTCAGCCACAGGGAATCTTTGGTTAGCAAAGTCATCTTATAAACCCATAATTTATAAACCTGCATTCTTTGTTCAATTTTCTCATTTCAGTCTATCTAATATGCACTCAGTTTCGAAAGAGGCATGACAAGTAACTAGAAAAATTTACCTAAACGAAATAAAAGGTTCAGTTCATTAAAATAATCACCTGAAAAAATATAAAATGTTTAAAATGAGCAGCCTAAATGTCGTGAATATGACAAGAAAAATATAACAACAGTCCGAACAATTTAAATATGTATAAATAAACAATTATTCAATGTCATTTTAAATAAAGACAATTTTATAAACAAAGACACATTATTATAAACATACAAACAATTTATATTTATAAGGATTATTTTATTAAAACGGATTATATATATAAAAAAATCATGTTAAATTTACGGATCAAATATTAGAGCAATTTAAATATAAAATATATACAAATATCGGCGAAAATTTTATATTTATAAATTTATTCTAATGATATAATAAAATATATTTTTTATGTATATATATATTTTTTAGAAAATATATATAAAAAATTTACAAAATTCCTAATATTTCATTATGCTGTTTTAATGTTTTAATATTATCAACGTCGGACGTTTCGGTCTAATGAACCATCTTCAGGACATATTCATAAAACATAATTAACATTATTTACCATATTCAATTCAACATGAACAAAATATATCATCATATGTATATCCATATAATGATTACATATATATATATATATATATATATATATATATATATATATATATATAAAAAAAAAAAATAAAATTTAATATTACAAGACATATAGAAACACAAAAATGAAAAAAATATAAAATAAAAAAAAACACAACAAAATTTCTCATAACCATTTTATATCCCGCTCTTCATTTCAACAATATTCAAAATTAATACAGAAAAATGTACAATTTGAATTGGGGAAAAAAAAAATATATATATATAAATATATATCTTATATAATGCATAAGGAACTAAGACAGATGAATGTTAAATATTATATCCTACGTATTTGGTTTGAACGTCAGTTGTTTTTTTGTTTTTTTAATAGTGTTTATTAAATATAATAAATATCAAACATTCGAAAAAATAAATGGTAAAAAGAATTTGCTTTCAATTCAAAAACATGCTCTCCTTATTATTAGTAAGAAACCCCCATCCGAATAAAGCTATATATATATAATAATTTTTATAAAATATATATTATTGTCTTAATGCGCAGCTGTTTCGACTTTTCTCGAAAGTCATATATTTGCATATTTTAAAATCAAAATATTAACAATCAGCTCCATGAATGAATAGATTTTTATTTATTTTTTTTTTTAAATACATGTTTTCCATATGCTAAACCATATATTGTTCATTGTTTTCCTAAACGGTCGTAGTGATTAACTGACAGACCCAGGAAAGAAGCGAGGATTTTGCATCCAGATTGTCAAGACCAAAGGAAATGATGGACGGCAATCATACTTTTCCCTATTATACATCGATTCTACAAAAGCATACATAATGTATATTTATAAATCAATTATCCCGCGATACACATTTTGCGCGTACATATATATATATATATATATATACATATATATATATATATATATATATATATATATATATAAGAAAAAAAATATACAAACAAAAAACAAACAAAAATCCTTATATACAATTATGCTGTTTTAATGTACATCGTCTTTGTCATGTTGTATTGATAATGTTATAATTTATGAATATGTCCTGAAGATGGTTTATTAGACCGAAACGTCCGACGTTGACATATTAACATTAAAACAGCATAATTGTATATAAGAAATTTTTGTTTGTTTTTTTTCCGTATATATTTTTCTTCATACTGTCGGATCTATATCCATATATATTCATATATATATATATATATATATATATATATATATATATATATATATATATATATATATATTTTTATAATTTGAAAAATTTGAAACGGACTTTTCCTGTATAAAGAAAAGAAAAATATGCGAACAAAAATTATCGACAGACTAATGCTGAAAAAAACACAGGTTCAAAAATCTCTCGCTAGTGATATATATATATATATATATATATATATATATATATATATATATATATATATATATATATATATTGTCAACCACAGACAGACTGTTTCGCTGTATCGCAGCTCATCAAGTGTGGCTAGACGTCCGGTTCCTTCTAGCTCGAATCGAAACCCAGAGATCCTACACCAAAGGCGTTGACGCACGACAGGGATAAAGGAGAATTTAAGCGTTCTTAATATTTAGGAAAACACACAGTGACTGAGAGAACTCAGCTTTAGCGAAGAGTTTTGCATTATTAGCCGTAATAGTCACTGTTTACAAACTGATACTATGTCCAAGCAAGTTTGAATAAAAAGCAAGGAATGTCTGCTTATTCTTTTATTATATTTTTTTAATTTTCGGATAAAGTGTTGCTCGAAGCTGTGATCGAACTCTCCAAAGTGATTGTTTTTTCCTGTTCAAGTATTTTTGACTTTCGCAGGCATTATCAAGGACATCTTCAAACTAATAATCAAAAATCAACATTAAATACTTACATTGGACACACATGCACCACTCTCTCTCGTAGATTGACCTGTCACCTGTCGATTCTGTGAACACATCGAGCCACACATTATGAACGACCAAAGTACAATTATCAACAGAAGACAAATACTAGTAGATAACACCAAAATACTCTGCACCAATCAATGTAAGGAAAGACTGAAAACTCTAGAAGATTTTATTATACAAAATAAACATCACGCATTAAATAAGATATCATTCGGCACAGGAGAATGTATCATATATATATATATATATATATATATATATATGTTATATAAGTAATGTGCGCACATATTTTATCATAAGAATAAAAAATAAAAATTAAATAGATAAATAAATGGCAATCATTTTGCGCGGCCATATTTCCAGAAGGCGTTATAAATTTTAAACGCCCAGATTTCCAAAGAAAACAAGAATGCAGAAAAAGTAAACTATCACACAAACACCACATTGGTACTGGATAACGATTGCGAAAGTCGAAATTACTTGAACCAAAATATAAGTGAAATAGTGGATTGGTGCATAATTATCAGGCGTTTTTAAAACAATATTTATTATAAAAAAAAGGAACATAACAATTCGATAATAACATTTTTATATGAGTATGATTATCGACACGCATTTTATAACCAGAAAATAGAATAATATTTTTATTTAAAAAAAATTAAACAAAACCACAGTTTTTATTAACAAATAACTGGCCTACAAAAACGCCTGATAATTATGCACCAATCCAATAGATATACAGAAGAAAGATGAAAATACAGATCGTGTCTTTAAGAAAATTTATTTAGAATAATTTTACCGATTTCACAGTTCTATGATTTTCAAAAGTTAAATTAGGGTAGAGAGACGTATATCTATGCCATGATATGTCTCGGCACTGTTACGCTTCAAGAGTTCTTTTGCTATTTTTAGAATTCGCAGCGGCGAAGTAACAAAAAATAACAGCACCATTTTTCAGTAGAGACGAGCTATTGTTTACAAAAAGATCGACTTACCGCACAATTTGGAAAATAAACGGATCTTTCCATTACAAACAAAAAGTAAAGATATCAAAATGACTATTAATTTAGAAAAAAGTAAGCCGACATTTAAACCGAAACGACTTTTAACCAGACACGCAATGGACGTCATTTATCGAAATGACTCGAATCAACATTTACAAGCTAACACTACCTAAATTGTGACAGATGGTTTTAAATAATCCACACGAAACTGTAGCAAAGTGAACATGGCTAGAGAATGGAAATAAACAAATTCATAGTCGCAAAAGGGTAACCGTAAAGGAATTTATAATTCCGAATCGACTAGGATACGTCCGATTAGAGTTTAGGATTTCTCGTTCCTGATTTTAGTTTTTTTTTTTTTTTTCTGTCACTTTTCAAATAACAAAGCAACTATTTGGTAGCCCATCCTTGATTTCAAAGTTTAATAACCTAAAATTGATCTCAAAAAAAAAATATAGATATTAAGATGAATGAGATATTCTATAATAGATAGATAGATATTTGATTTATGATGAATATAACGAACAGGCTGAGATAGAATAAAAGTAAGACATAAATAGAAACGAGTAGATAGAGAGACAGAGAGAGAGAGATAACGGACAGGCTGAAATAGAATAAATGAAAGGCAGGAAAAGAAACGAATCGATAGATAGATAGATAGATTAGATAGAAGATAGATCAGAGAGAGAGAGAGAGAGAAAAAAGGACAGACAGACAGAGACATTTTAAATGCCAACGAGATAACGGACAGGCTTGAAATAGAATAAATGAAAGACAGAAAAAGAAACGAATTTTAGATAGATAAATAGAAAAGAGAGAGAGAGCGAATGAGAGATTGAAAAGATGAGAGAGAGAGAGAGAGACAGACAGACAGACAGACAGACACAGAGAGAGAGAGATAATGGACAGGCTGAAATAGAATATATGAAAGACAGAAAAGAAACGATTAGATAATATAGATAATATAGATAGATAATGATAGAGAGAGAGAAGCGAATGATAGAGAGAGAATGAAAAACAGATTAAATGAATTCCAGAGAGAGAGAGACAGACAGACAGACAGCGACACATTTGAGCAGAGAAAAATAATGGACAGGCTGAAATAGAATAAATGAAAATATACAAAAATATGGACGAGTAGATAGATAGATAGATAGATAGATAGATAGATAGATATGAATAGGATGGACGAGATAGATAGATAGATAGATAGATAGATAGATAGATAGATAGATAGATAGATAGATAGATCCAGACTTCTGATCTAAGTAGTTTATTTCATGCAATAAGCATCCACCATTTTCGGGAGATTATAGTCTCCTAAGGTGGCTAGCAAATCCCTGTGGCAGACGTTTGCCTAGGCCTACTTGTTTTGTTCAAAACCCTCAGAGACAACCTGTGGTTTATTCCACAACTACGCTGAACAGACCTTAGAGTCTCTGGGAGATAGCGTATAATCTAACCGGATGAATAAGTGCACAATGCCAATTTAGCGATATAAATCATCAGTCATGATGGCTTGAGATTTTATACTAACGCAACCACCGGCAGTTATCTCCACCCAATTTCGCCCTCATCTCTAAGGAACAACCGGTGGTATAATTTTCCGGCACCTCCCAAGGGATCATCACTCCAGTCCGATATTACTTAAGAGACACATATTCGAGAAATCGGCATGTCTATCCTGAAAATTGATCAAGTAATCTTATATCTGTTTTGCAACAAAGAATAGCTATGCGATCAGGTTTGAATAAAACCAGCAGTTGGTCTCTTTCGGCTAAATCGGTAAGACAGCTTCGAGGAAAAAGGAACGAGGACTGGAGTCTTAACGCAAGCTGTTTCTTTACTTAATAAACCATGTAAAATAATGGTGTTGAGTGCAGTGAAGGAATGCAATCAAAACTTTAAAAGAAAGAAAAAATAGTGTTTAAAATTTATAAAATAGATATTTACAGGCTGCGATGGATAAATTGTCGTCTAAATTACGGAAATACCGACATCTCGATTTAACAGATATATTTACCAAAATGACATAAAAATATCTTGAAATACAAATGAGTAAATTTATTCGTTAAAATCGCCATTCGCTTCAACCACGGCCTCCAAACAACTTCGGAATCTCCTGCACATTTTCTAGGGGGTCTCCTCGTTTATGATGAATGCTGCCATAATCCTTACCTTCAGTTCATCTTTACTGTTACAAGGAGTTTTGTTGGTCTCTCGACTAATTACGCCTCACACACTTCGGCTAAATCGGTAAGACAGCTTCGAGGAAAGTGGTATGCAGTCTGGGGAGTTAGATGGCCAGATGTAAAGGGTGATGTGGTCTCAGAAATTGTCTGACAGCTATGAATGGGTACTCCTGCTTGTATGGCATGGTTCAGAATCTTGTTGCCAGACATAGAATCTTCAAGTTGCCACCCTCTTGACCGTGAGAAGGCCTACCCCAACAAGTAACTTGATGTAGACCCCCGTTTTGACTCTGAGTGTGTTCTTACTTATCAGAACGATCAAAAAGATTTCTCCGAGATGCCGTACCTTCGTAATCACCATTAGACTCATCCAGCTCTTTCTTAATCCACTGCACTGTCTCCAGATTCACACACATACACCCCGAAATATTCGTATTAGAGCTTCCGGCGAGAATGGTAAGCAGTACAGCCTGCAGTTTCCAAATTTCTGGCCTAGTGAATAGCATCATATTGCTCTCTCCCCTCCCTACTATACTATACAGTAGACAAAATCAAAATCAAACAACGTACATGCGGGAAATTAAAAATATAAATTTGCGACAATTTATACATCGCATCCTGTATATCACAGTCATTTTTATTCTTGCTTTATTCATCGTTTTTTCTATTCATTGTTCGCTTTACTTACATTTTTAAACAGTGATAGAAAGATTTGACAATAATATATATATATATATATATATATATATATATATAGAGATTCATCTGAGAGAGAGAGAGAAAGATTTTAGAGATTTTAAGACATTTTTTTAAATACGTTCTTTTTTATAGATACAAATATTTAAGTAAATGCTCTGCTTATAATATTTTAATATTTGTATCTATAAAATGTATAAACATAAAAATGTTAAATAATTAATGTAAACTTTGTCCATTTCATTATATATATATATATATATATATATATATATTAATATATATATATATATATATATATTGGATATTACATTTTAGACAATTTTAAAATATACACCGGAATACATATATATATATATATTTTTATATATATATATATATATATATATATATATATATATATATATATATATATATATTCATATGTAACAGTAAAACAAAATGTGAAATCATGTAAAAGTAAAATTGTCCAATTGTTAGATTAAGCTCTGAACTAGTGTATCTTAGAAATTATAAGATATCTTACTGGAGTTTTCCAAAGTTCCTCTTGGACTCCACATTGAGCTATAAGAATGTATAATTACTCTTCAAAGCTTAACGGAAGTATCGTGATGAAATTGATCATAGCTAAGGATCGGAAGCTCATGAAAATTGAAATTAAGTTCAAATATATATAAAAATTATTCCTGGATCTTTTTCCAACTTATTCAAGATGATCTTTGTCTTCTCTAAACTTTTAACTTTCGGTCCTGGAGTAACAAGGTGCTTCACATGTACGATTTCATTTTCTAGTATTTTTCACTGCTCTTTTAGACTTTCATAGGTTAAAGCCCTCAATCATGTGCCAAACATCTTGAATTGACGAACGAATTAAGTTGGATCTTTTCTAATTGAAATGATGATCCCCCTTCCTGTTGTGACCTCCCGATCCAATTTTCCTCTCTACTGTTCCCTCTGTTTTAAATTTATTCCCAGTTCTCTTGATGGTTCTTAAATGGTCTTCGAATACGGAAGCCAGAGTATGAATTTTGGTACCATTAATGAAGGATTGAATGATCTTTTTCCTCTCACTATTGCTCATTTGGGAAGACAGTCCGGGTGACACAAAACGATTGTAATTTGTTCTCTTTCTAGCTCAATAACTCAAATGTTTTTTTCAGTGATTGGTTTAGTAATTTTTTTTTTTATATTGAACATTTTCTGGTATGGACAATTATGCTGTTACACGATTCGCATATTTTTGCTTTAACTATATATATATATATATATATATATATATATATATATATATATATATATATATATATATATATATATGTACCTAATGGGATGAGAATGAAAATAGTATATAAATTCTAACATTCACAGCATTAATTCAAAAGAGGGCTCAATACCGATAGTAGAGCAATAATTATTTATTATAATTTTTTCAAAAACAGTTTACTCACTACAAAGATGCAACTTCGTTTCGGTGCATTTCAATTGCACCTCGACTGGTGAGAACCAAAATGGTTATGAACAATTCTGTTTGTAAGTAAGCCGCATGTGAAACGTCACTTCCTTTTTTCCATTTGTTTGAACAAATATAGAAAACTTGTATTTATGTATAGAAAATATGTGTAAAAAATATCTATTTAAAAAGTATGTGTAAAAATATAGAAAATATTTGTGTAAAATTATGTAAAAATATTTGTGTAAAATTTGTAAAAATTTATGTGTAAAATTATGTGTAAAATATAGAAAAATTTGCATTTATGTATTTTCTCTACATAAAGGCAAAAAGGTGACGCAGTGAAACAATAGTGGTTGTTGATAGCAGTTTGGTGAAAGATGGCTGAGGTGTTAAAGTAATGGCTAGATCTGAAAAATTTCTTTTCGACAACAACTGTCAAATGTTTAGGTACAGTATTTCCAAGCCTTTTAAGAGTGAAGGTTTGGGAATTAAAGGTGTGAATAGGAAATATTAATATGATGAAAGAGGAAGGAGGGATAATTTCAAACGATTCAATATTTATCGATGTAATCTCTTGGTTTCGTTGTTTTTTCAATCATTACTCACCTGTGCTTTCGGTAACAATAATTTCATTGCTTATAGGGCATTTAATTTAGGCTTATGTTATCAACAAGTTGAAACACCGATTTCGTTACAATCACCAAAGTTTAGGCAAGGTCGATCCAGGCCACTAAGCCAGTACCTCGATGGGTGGCGGCTTATGTATACTCTTAGCTTCGACGTGCGTGAAGTGCAATAGATAACGACTTCGAATTGTTAATCGGACAGCCGAGTTCAAATTCCATTTGGGTTCGTTATATTCACTTACACACAAACATCCTTGGGAAAGGTAGAAATCCACGTCTTCTCTCGCCCATCTATAGCTTAATTAATAAGTCTTACCTCGCTAAATCATTATTACCTCCCCCACCCAAAAAAAAAATGTTTTTTTACAATCTAAAAAATAAACTCGAAATAGTTGATACGCCGTAAAAAAAAACGATTCAATAGATTTATTTTATAGTCTGTCTATATTTCTTAGATGAGGTATTATGTACATTATTTATATTATTCGGACTATTGTTCTCATCTTTGTCGCCATATTTATCACAACGTTTCGGCCGTTGTACGCTCTGGCCTTCTTCAGGTGGTTGGAATTTCGAACTGAACCCTTCATTTCGCTCACTGGGGTAGACTGTTCTAGTTCCACGTGCCATGTTTGATGGATGTCAGTTATCAGTTATCTCCTGTTAATTTTTCCCTCTGAAAGTTCTCCACTGCCTTGTCCTTGATTTATTTTACTCTTCTATCTTCGAATGAGATTTTAGAAAAGGATTTCCCTCTCATAAAGGTCTAAGTAATATCTATCTATCTATCTATCTATCTATCTATCTATCTATCTATCTATCTATCCTTCTATCTATCTATTCCAGTCTGTTAACATCTATCTATCTATCTATGAACAAATTCTTAGAGTTAACCTGTAGAAAAAGACAATATTTATAAATGTAAAACACAATAGGAATACTGTATTATTGAACGAAACACGTCGCTTAATAATACAGTTTTCCTATTGTCTTTAGCCCTAATACAAACATACATACATAAATACATACATGCATATATATATATATATATATATATATATATATATATATATATATATATATATATATAAAAAAAATTCTCAGAGTTAACCTGTAGAAAAAAGACAATATTTATAAATGTAAAAGACATTAGGAAAACTATAATCGTTACCGACGCGTTTCGTCCGATGTGAACTTTTTCAAGATTTTTGCCTATCTATCTATCTATCTATCTATCTATCTATCTATCTATCTATCTATTCCAGTAGTTTGGCATCTATCTATCTATCTATCTATCTATCTATCTATCTATCTATGTGTTCCAGTTTGTTAACATCTATCTATCTATCTATCTATCTATCTATCTATCTATCTATCTATTGAGCGTGTGTTGTGTGTGTATGTTATGTGTGTTTGTTCTGTTTATGTTGTGCGTGTGCGTGCTTTCGTGCCTATGTGCTAAAAAGTATTGCGTGCTACAGTAGGACACACGGTATAATATCCCACGCTTAGTGTTAGGCTGGCTGTTGCGAATCCGGAGAATGTTAGCTGATCTTTGTATCAGTCATGAATCTTGTACATGTAAAATCTATGATATCCACAACGAAGTTATATTTTTTTTTCTCTCTGGTCCACAACACATTTGTTTAATAACTATCTGTTCGGTGATACGTTCTCTCTCTCTCTCTCTCTCTCTCTCTCCCTCTCCATTCATTTTTTGTCTCTTACAATATCTCTCACTTTCTTTTTCTTTGTAAGTTTGCATTTTGAGATATTTATTAATCTTCGCCGAGTCTTGCATGAAGTGAGACACATCACAAGGTTCCGCGAAATAAGAACAGGGCTCTGATTCTGGGAAGTTGGTCAAAAACTTTTAACACTCCAGACCTCGGACTAAATTGATTTTTTTTTTTTTTTTACGTAAGGCTAAGTACTAGGGGCATGTAATCATACTTATTATAAAACACAGGTTGTGTGTGTGTGTGTGTGTGTGTGTTCGTTTATATATTGGTTCGGATTTCCTACATTTTTCAACCGATTTCAACAAAACTTCACAGGACTACGTAAAATTACCTTGCGGTGGTTCTGACAGTGCCAAAAATTGGAAGAAAAAAAAACACAATTGTTTTTGCACGAAATCAATTTGAAAACACGATCAAGAGGTATCGCTGTTTCGAGAATGAAAGGGGCACAACTCATATCGAGTTATACTTATAAAACCCAGGGTGTGTGTGTGTGTGTGTGTGTGTGTGTGTGTGTGTGTGTGTGTGTGTGTGTGTGTGCGCGTGTGTGTGTGTTCGTTTATATATGGGATCAGATTTCCTACATTTTTCAACCGATTTCAACAAAACTTCACTTTTTTTTGGTAGGTAGTGTTTCTTATTGTCTTGCACATTTTTTTCTTTATTTTTACAATCAGAATGCTTTAAAAAATTCCATTTACAAGACAATTGTTTATAATAAAATTGAAAAATTCTATTCAATCGGTAGACTCATAACGATTGAAAACAATGTTTTTGTTTGAGTTTGACCAATTCGTAAAAAAACAAAAAAAAAAACAAAATAAACAAAAAACTAATTAAGACATGCGTGTCCGTCAACCTTAAACAATAATCTTTGTCAATTTTATTTTTCAGTCTTTATGATGGTCGATACTTGATCTATCTCTTACTGTTACATCTCCGGGCAACGCCGGGCTCTACTGCTAGTATTTTCTAATTTTCACCCTTCACACTTCACAAGAGTCACTCAAGATAGAGCGTTACTGAATGAAGTTATTTATTGACGCCAGAGGCGGAGGTAAGAAGTGGAAATTATGAAGATATGTAAGATGGATAACGGCTGACCCTAGACTTGAAGAAGTTCATATTGTAGTAAGCTAGAGAAGTATTATCTAGGGAGTCAAATGCAAAAGGAATGAGGATGATCCGACCCAGTGTACATGTCTTGAGAAATGCTGGGAATATTGATTTACTTGAATATTTTTGTGTCCGGAATAGACGGGCGTGCCCGTCTTTTTAGATTTTGATTTTTTTTTTTCAACCTGCCCACTTTTACTTACTTCACAAACCCTATCTATTTTATTTTTCATTTTTTTCCACCCCACCAGTTTATTCCAGCCTCTCCGTTTATTCCAACATCTCCGTTTGTTCCAGCCTCTCCGTTTATTCCAACGTCTCCGTTTGTTTTAGCCTCTCCCTTTATTCGAACCTCCCCTTTTGTTCCAACCATCCCGTTTATTCCAGTCTCCCCGTTTATTCCAACATCTCCGTTTGTTCCAGCCTCTCTGTTTATTCCAACATCTCCGTTTGTTCCCGCCTCTCCGTTTATTCCAACGTCTCCGTTTGTTTTAGCCTCTTCCTTTATTCCAACCTCCCCTTTTGTTCCAACCATCCCATTTATTCCAGTCTCCCCGTTTATTCCAACCAAACCCTCCTGCTTTATGAATAACAGGTACTTGTACCGAAAACATATTATTTTTTCCATCTTACCCTTTAATACTACTCTTCTAAATAAGAGAATTTAAAAAAAAATGGTTACCATTGTTCACACAGTACAATGCCTCTGCCAGTCTAGTACTACAGGTAGAGGGTTACTGAATAGGAATGTTGTAAGGCCATATAGGGAGCACATGTAGGCTAGATAACGTTTGACTCATGACTTTAAGAGGTTAATATTGTAGTAATCAGAATCTATTCCACATTGCAACAGTTATGGGGAAGAAGCTTTCTGGGTGGAACTTACTCCTTACTAATGGAATATGAGTGGAACGAGAATTAATCGATACGGTGTATGTAGCATGACTGTAAAAGGTCTGAACTCTTGGAACTAATGAATGTAGCTTGTCAGAACATTTTCCATTTAAGTAGTGATAGAATAGCGATAAGCTTGAGAAATTTCATCTGTGGAGAAGTGTTCGGAGGAAGGAAAATAATTAATCACCTATAAGGAAAATAATTGATATAACCCACAACTATAGGGTTGCATAGGGAGGATTGGGCAGCACAGACCGGATAAAAGCATGATTGGGCAGCTCAAACCGGGAACGGCACGATTGGGCAGCTCAAACCGGGAAAGGCTGAATCGGGAAAGGTAGGTTGGAGCAGCTCAGAACGGCAAATGCAGAATTGGGCAGTTCCGCCGACTAGGAAAGGCAGGATTGGGCAGTTCCGACCTGGAAAGGCAATACTGAACAGCACAAACCACGTAAGGCTGGGCTGAGCAGCTCAGACCGGGAAAGGAAGGATTGGGTAGTTCCGACCAGGAAAGGCACGATTGTGCAGCTCAGACCGCGAAAGGTAGGATTGGGCAGCTCAAAACCGCGAAAGGTAGGATTGGGCAGTTCTGACTATGGAAACGCGCGATTGGGCAGCTCAGTCCGGGAAAAGAAAGGATTGGGTAATTCCGACCAGGAAAGGCACGATTGGGCAGCTCAGACCGCGAAAGGTAGGATTGGGCAGTTCCGACTATGGAAAGGCGCGATTGGGCATCTCAGTTCGGTAAAGGCAGAATTGGGCAGCTCAGACCGGAAAAGATAGGATTCGGCAGCTCCGTCCGGGAAATCATACCAATCGTCAATTTTTAGTTTGATCTGACGAAGTGAGCATATAATTTGCTTCAGTTTGTAAGTTTTCATACCATAATCTAATTCGATTCATTACTGACTAGGCAGCCTTTCCTGCAGTAGGTGGCTGTTTCTTTCCGCGGTAGACTGGTTACCAACTAAGGCTATAGGTCCAAGTCTGTCCTGCAATTTAATCAATAGATTAGGTGAGATAAGATGGACTCATACTTTTCCCAAGGGTATTTGCTCGTAAGTGAGTGATTTACCTAGAAATATTAAAAAGGCAGTAACACTAGCAAATGAATCATTGTTACCAGATAGGCTTAATTAACATTTATTCATTAAGCGTTACTTAGTCTGACACAAGGTCAGGTTATCAGGAATACAATGAGGATCAAAATCATTATAGTGCAGTAACAGTTTGCATGACTATCTTGCAAATCATAGGAACATGGTAGGGTATATTGCATGTTTTTTTTATGTTTCCCGAATTTTATAATCGTCACATCACTTGGACGTGACTGCGGTCTCAGCACCCTGTAGTTCGTATTTCGAAATATCACCTACTGACTAGCTGTCGACCGTTCGAGAATACCGATCGGCCAGTTAACCCTACCCGTCTTCATATTATGCTTGCGGGTCAAAGTTTTTATCTCTCCGATTACAATCCGACATCGCAGATTGCCGATATCATTTCCGCCACCTCGACACGACAATCCGCCAGTCTGGCCTTTTTCCTGCGCCTTGTATCCACCGACACCACTACTGCTCCAAACCAACTCCGTCGCCGTCTTCGTTTGTTTACAAACTCTCCCTCAAGGTTCCAGTGAGAGACAGTGGTCGGGGAAAATGGCGCCAGTTTCCCCGCCAGTGCGGTCCTTCACTCTAAGATGTTGAAATTGAATCAGTGAGGTTCAGATTGAAGGTACTTTGTTATCTGCTCAACGAAACCTGCTATGGCAGGTGTCTGCACGCGCTAGTTTCTGTCTCGCCGACACACGATAACTCACCTGTACTTATAGAAATATCTGTGATTGAAATGTATAGTGGAAATTGAAAGCATAAGATTTTGGACGCCCTCTGGGTAGGGGCGCTCCAGTGACTAATGGGAATTTAATATAAAAAGTCTTTTACTGTAAATTTAGAAATCGTTTAAACGAAACAGATAAAGTTCCACTACAGAAATCTAAGAAAAATTTAAAGTATAAATATATATTGTTTTAAACAATAAATGACCCATGACTTTTATTCAATCGATCATATCTGCACGAAGCGTCTCTTAACGTAAACAAATGACAAAATATATTATGAAATGGACTAAGTCCGACAATTATTTTAATATATTCTCTGCTTATATGTTATTTTACAGATAGAAATATTCAAGTAAATGCTCTGCTTATAATAAGCAGTATTAACTACATTTACCGGCCTGAATATCCGAGAAATTTCGTAGAAAATATGTCCTTCGATAGGAAATGAACCTGTATCTTACACGGAAGTGCCATATGGCCCGACGTGCTATAACATTTAGTTATAGAGGAAGCTTCTCGTTAGAAAAGTCAAGTTACTATTTTTAATCAACAAATTTCTGATGATTTTTGTCGATCGATCATATCTGCTCGAAGCGTATCTTAACGCAAGCAAATGACTACATACATTACGAAATGAACAAAGTCCGACAATTACTTTATATATCTTCTGTCTATACGTTATTTTATAGATAGAAATATTTACACGTAAATGTTGTTAATATTGTTTATTGTAAACAGAGCATTTACTTAAATATTTTATCTATAAAAATAACGTGTAGACAGAAAATATGTGCTGGTAGTCTGGCTGTTCAGTTCTGAGTGTCGACTTGAGAGTCCATCATATCTATCTATCTATCTATCTATCTATCTATACATACACATACACACACACACATACATACATATATATATATATATATATATATATATATATATATATATATATATATATATATAAAGTTGTAGCCTCTATTTTTTTTTTTTATCGAACTCCTTTTAGGCTTTTGGAGATGGCCCCCTCCCCATATATATCCTGAAGCTACGTTAGCCAGTGTAATTGGTAACTATATTTCATTTTGATCAAAGGAGCCCCGGAGTGGGGACTAAAACCACCAGTGATTTTTTTTTCCTTTGATATAAATTAAATTTAAATTTGAACAAAGTAATAGCTTCTAGTGTACTCAGGTAAGTATATTTGATTTTGGTCAAAGAGGGTCCATTGAATGGCACAAACCTCACAGTGATTTTTTTTTCCTTAAATTTAAATTTGAACAAGGAAATTGTCCCTAACAAAAATATAGAAGGAGAAAGCCAGAAGATGGAGGTCGCATCAGCATGCTCAAAATGAGACAATAGCGACGTCAAGATCAGCAAGAGATTCACTGGGTATTGCCTTACAATATATATTTGTTCCGACAATTTAACTGTCATATTAATGTTCAAATCTGGATATGAATTCATTTAATCAAGTATTGCATCAAATACCTATCAAAGGAGTCAGAACATGCTGTTTTTGAACAAACCCCACACTGAAAATTTTTCTCCCTTTGATTCAAATTAAATTTCATTTGAACAAGGGGATGACTCCTATACAAAATTTAGAAAGAGAAGGCTAGACGATGGTTGACATGTCAGCAAATTCATTGAGTAAAACTGAAATACATAATTTTTCTCCACAAATTTTAACGATGGTTTAAAATCAATTATCATTTTCTTACAAAAAAACGTGTGACACGCAGAAAGGCGCCAGCAGTTCGGCTCGTTCTTACATCATACATACATACTACGTTGGTGCATAATTATCAGGCGTTTTTTGTAGGCGAGTTATTTGTTAATAAAAATTGCTGTTTTGTTTACTTTTTTAATAAAAATATTCTTTTATTTTCAGGTTATAAAAATGCGTGTCGATAATTATACGCTCTGGAATAATCATTTTAAAATATCATTGTTGAATTTTCTTTTTTCATAATAAATATTGTTTTAAACACGCCTTATAATTATGCACCAACACAATATATATATATATATATATATATATATATAAAAACAACTAAAAAGCTGCAAATTAAAAAAATAATTATGTTTTTTTATGAAAGTATTTATTTATATATATTTATTTATATTTGATATTTCAGATTGCCCTCGACCTTTCTTTCTGAATAAAGATCGAGGTCGATCTGAAATATCATAAATAAAGAATTTCAAAAAAAAAACATTATTATTTTTTTAATTTGCAATTTTTAACGTCTTTTTATATATATATATATATATATTATCAAAAAGTATACGTAGCTTCTCATTATGCTATATATATATATATATATATATATATATATATATATATATATATATATATATATATATATATGTCATTCGCCAGGCAGTACTGTTTCGCTGTATCACGGGTCACAGTGCGTCTTGACATCCGAATACTTCAAGCCCGGATCGAAACCCAACCGATCAGGCAGTGTTTCTACCACTGAGCTATCTTCATTCGACAGAGAGAAACAACTAAATCTAGTGTATTGCTTTTACGAATGTAAATCAATGTCAATCAGCCGGAGTGCTCCAATTTTGCATTAACGCAGGTGGCTGTTTTTTATATAATTAGTTTATCACTCAACAGTGCTCAATTGAAATATATTTTCAAGAGCAATATATATATATATATATATATATATATATATATATATATATATATATATATATGCTGCATATTTTCATTCAAGCATATTTATTTAAAAAAATTTAGACCTATTATGTCTATTTATTTTAGTTTTAATTTTTTCAAGTCCACGAATTAAATTTAATAAACAGTAATAACATTAATATATACCCCACTGATCTTAGTAAAAGAATAAAATTAATTATATACTATACTAAATTTAATACAACCAACCTTGTCTTCCATAACAACTCTTCTCCGTCAACTAGCGTCTTACAAAAGACCAACATCGTATATCAATTTAAATGTCATTTGGGAGATTGCAACTCTGATAAAAATGCTAATACGTATGTTGGTTTTACAACGACGATGACGAGAAGGGTTACGTTTCACTCGATCGATCATAGTCCAATCTTAGAACTTTTAAAGAAACACTGATGTACACATTCACAATTTAGACAGATGTTAATCTAAAATACATCAGTGCTTCATCAAGATAATAATAAACAATAACTTAAGATTATGGATGTCCTTTATATAAGAGAATTTCAACTACGAGTAAAGCAAAAAAGTTCTTAAATGTTTTTAGCAGTAAAATGTTATATGAAAATATACTAAATTAAAATACTATAATTATAACACTCTTTTTAAAAAAAATCACATAAGTTAACTCCTTTGTATAGCGGTTAAAAATATTTTGCATTTATGGTGTTAACTTATGATACATGCATAAATATGCAAACCCTGAAGATGGCCACGGATAAGATCGAAAGTACTTAGAAAATAAAAAATATTTAAAAGAAATTTAAAAAATTTTCTTGATGAATTTCCTAGAGCCACCAGGAAATAAATTCGTCGACTTGAAAGGATTAAATATAAAATAAATAGACATAATACGTGTAAATTATTTAACTAAACATGCTTGAATATCTCTCTCTCTCTCTCTCTATATATATATATATATATATATATATATGTATATATGCTTATATATATGTTGTGTTGGTTGGTTGATTTTGTTTTACGGCATATCAACACCTCTATGTGTTATTTAATGTCGAAATATAAATATTTTGAACGCAATTTTATGGCTTCAACTACAGATAAAATGTATTGTTGGTCATTTTGCTACAAAATCTGTTGTTGGTAAATCTACTATAAAATGTATTGTTGGTCATTTTGCTTTAAAATTGAGATGTTGATAATTTTACTAAAAATATACTACTGGTAATTTTTTTTTACTATAAAAATGTATTTTCATAGAGTTTTGACTTTAGGTTCACTATTTATTTATAATTGGGACCCTAACAGCTGGACCTGGGAACAAAAGCAATAAATAGGTGGTTCCACTTCCCTCAAAACATCCAGTCACCCGATCAGATGCCTTGTTGCCGGACGTACTTTATCGGCATAGCCAGGACAGTATAAATATGAGAAAACGATATATATATCTTTATATATTGCTGTATCCTCCATTCCCATAAATGCAGTAGTGAATCTTGTATGCGTTGGTCGGCCGGCCTGCAGTTGGAGGTTCGTCTTCAGCTGGGCTGGTTAAGCTCTCTACTCCGGACAGAGAGCATTTTCAGACGGAGCTATGTCGAAGGACAGAATCTCATCTCCGGAAATACCTACCTGAACCCGTTTTACATTGGGGTTTACGGGGAAATTTTGGTTGAGCCTACAGGTTCGGGAACCCCCACATTAATCTTAAGAAACTGTAACAAACAAAAACACAGACAAAACTAGAAAAGTAATAATAAAGATTTTTTAAAAATAACGGATTCGACATAGATATAAAAACTAACCTAAACGAAGTAGATTTTCTAGATGTTACCTTCAACCTAAGAAAAGGCACATATAAACCATATAGAAAACCCAATGATAAACCAATCTGTTACATCTTCCATCCACCCACCTTCTATAATCAGATACCAAAATAGTTTAACCGCAGGCTTTCCGACAATTCCTCTAATAGTCCATATTTAATAAAGCTAAGAAAGATTATGAAACAGCCCTAAAAGATAGCGGATTCCCAGCAACACTCACATACTCACCACAGAACACAAAAAAGTCCAACAGGAAAAGAAATATCATATGGTTCAACCCACCGTACAGCAAAAACATAAAAACAAACGTAGGAAAAATGTTCTTCAAACTCTTACACAAACACTTCCCGGAATCAAGCACCCT